GCAGTGGCTGGAGCTGGGGCTGGGGCTGGGGCTGGTGCTGTGGCCAGAGAGGGCCTAGTTTTTTTCTTCTCTTCGCCCTCATAAGTCGACACTCAGTGGTATTCAAAGCGCAGCTAGGGCTGGCACGAATGCGTTCGCAGCTATCACAGTTTTTGCTGATTTTTCACACTGGCTCGGACCCCTCGGCCAGCTGTTGTCCGGCGCCCTTGTCGGCCAGCTGGCACGCCCTTTGCCGCTTTGCGCTTCTCTCACACCTTCTTTTTTTTTATATTTTTATTATTAACTTTTTGTCCATTTTGGTCACGTTTGATAAGCTGCAAACAAATAATTCATGAATGGGCCAGCTGTTGCGCCTGCTGCTCGATGATTTTTAAATATGATTTGAATGAGTTTATAAGTTTTGTATATTTGCTTAAGCAGCAGCAGCAGCAGCAGCCGAATGACACCGAATGACTCCCGCTCACCCTGCACTCCCCCCGCTCGCTGTGCGGGGTTGATTCAATTCAATTTGATTGATGTCTTTGCTTGCCAGCGCTTGTAGACAGTCATTAGCTGCGCCTTCTCTCCCGCCGTCGTCTGTGCTCTGTTCTATCCCAGTGCAGCCACGCCCCTCTCCCTGCCTCTAGGTGCCCCGCCCCCTGGCAGTGAGTGGCGCTGACAGCTTGCCAAATTGTCTGCTAGAATTCTCAACTCTCGCACATACACAGCAGCTGATGTATTACTACAAGGAGCTCTCTGCAGTGCATCATTAGCATCTGCATACGAGCAGACCTTCAATCGAGACTATAAATATATTCAGTATAATTTCTGTTGACTTACAGACTTTTAAATGTTTTCAATATTACACTTCAGTAAGATTGTATGTACATAAGATTTATGGCGTATATACATAATTGTATATACGCCATAAATCTTAAATATATCTTTATAGCAAACAAACTACTACATAGAATATGACAAAAACAAGTCTACAAAAATATCAATTCTTATCAATTTCTTGTTTCTACTGAAGGTTGAAACACACTTGAGTACAGCTGCAGCTAAAGACAATACTTTATGAGTCATTATGAGAATACTTATGGATTACGAGTTAGTCTTTAAAGACAGTCAGGAAATCATTCTAGCAGATGAACTGAAGAAGCAATGTATATGCCAAAATATAGTCAGGAATGGATTATGCTAAATTAATAGGCCCTATTAAACTTTACAAGTATATTTAAGCACAAGGCTGCGTTTATTTAATTGTTGCTTTTAATATGAACATAAATTACAAGGGCTATGTTGACTACATAATTCTTCGACTTAAATTTCATTTCATTTATTTAACTTTTACTAATACATATAACTATATATGGCATATGGGATATTTCAAGAAATTTAATATAATTATTGCATAATTTCAGATCTTTTCTATTTATTATTAACACACAGACATATAGGTAATTATAATTTTATATATAACTGCTGGCTTTGAAGAGAATATGAGAAGAGAAAGCACTAACTTACCACCAGCTCTCACAGCTAAAAGACTAGCCCATATAATTTATATAAGTATATGCGGATTCTTAATATTTGGATGAGAAATTTAGCAATAGGTGCGATAATTTCCCATTTACCGTTTCAATGTTGGCTCGACATTGTGGACCAGTCGTAGATCAATGCCAGCTTAGCATGGCTAATGAATTTAAAGATTTCTTATTTGTTGTGTAGTTGGTTTATATGAGATTCGCATCACCAATAGTTTATATGTTTATTTTTCTATAGAACCGAGAGTCACGTAGTCTTGAAATGATGTATTCCTTATATTTTATATATTTTAGAGCGCAGCTTTAGCCTAAGGAAACGAAAAGTTAATTTTATATTCCGAGAATCAAGAAAATTGTCAAGTTCTCTTGGATATCGCGTTATATAATCTCTTTATCATATGAATGAAATCAATGCTTCTTAACCAAAGACACCTTAGCCAAGTCAACTGAAGTTAGTTCTTGGCCATTAAAAGCAAGCCTTAAAAAATCATATAGCATTTACTCTAGAGGGACTTTTACTTGAGGCTGGGCGTTTGATTAACTGTGTGAGTCAACTTGAAGCGATAGACATACAGACACAGGGAGAGAGAGAGAGAGGGAGAGTGGGAGACTGGGACAGCTATAGGAATATAGTAGAGTCTCAGCCACATGCGGTCGCGGTCGCGGTCATATTTGGCTTATTATAAATGACTGAATGTGAACTGCCTGTCATGTTTTATCTTTATTTTCGTGCATTTCTGGACACATTTCACTGGGAGTACGAAGAGCTGCAGACGGGAGTGGGGCTGTAGGGCCGTGGGGGGAGTGGGGGGCTGTTGCTGCCGGCGTGTCTGCACATTTTCAACATTTTCCGATGTTGTTTTTTTCGTTCGCTTTTGGCCTTTCTGTCAGCTTCTTGTTCTTGCTCTTGGCCAGGCACAATGTGATGATAATGGCGCTTGCAGGCCGACTGACGTTTCTAACAAAGTGAGTCGCATTAAGGATAATCGAGGCAACTAAAAGCAAAGCCAACAGAAGCAGCAACAACAACATGAAACAAAGCAGAGACAGCGACAGCGACAGCGACTGCTGATGGGGCTCGATTTGCGCGTCATTATCCTTGCAGGCAGCCAAGTGTCTATTGTGTGTGTGTGGCTGTGTGTGTGGGTGTGGGTGTGTGAGACACACTGCTTGGCCGCCAGGCCTGAATGTCCATCAAGAGCCAAGACGCTGCAACGCCTTGCGCCCGTTGCCCTTGCCCCTCCCCCAGCCCCTGCCGCTTCCTGTGCCTGACATCTTCGTCGTCATCGCTCGGCGTTACGAATGATTTATGGCCCACAACTCGGTGCGAGCTGAAGAGCAGCGCACAACCCTCTGGCAAGCTGGGAGAAGCGCTCTGCAATTGACAATTGTCCCAGCCAGGATGCGGCCCGAGTCCTGGCCAGCTACACCTACTCGACGGCTGAGCAAATATTTATTAAGCAAATTAAAGGCGCGCCAGCAAATCCCGCGATACAAATGACTCGAGCTTTTCCTTCTGCCCGATGATGGGGCACTTTGCTCTAGCCTTTGGCCAGTCGAATTATGCGCTCTAACGCCCCGACTCCCATTAGTCAAAGCCATGCTGCTTTAAGCCCAATTTCAGAGCCAAGCGGCACTTGGCTCTGGCTCAACCCAAGCCGACTTGCGTGTCCTTTTTCGGCCACAAAATTATCAAAATTAAATGGAATACCTCACGTGCCATATGCAATGTGGCAGCTGCTGCGGCTGCTGTCTCGACAGCCATGATGCCCAAAATAAAAACACAGACTACTTTAAAAACACTTGACCATACGCAGCCAGTAGGTGCGAGCGGGACAGCAGCAGTGCGACTTGCTCTCATTAAATAATTAAAGTTTTTTCCCCATTTTGGTTATTTCGGTTGGCTCAAATCACACTTAACTCAGCTCGTCTGCCACAAATGCGATGTCTACACGTAGCATGCATCTGGCCTCTTGCATGCCCCATTCACTGGCCTTTCTTTCGTCTTAAGACTGCGATAGCCGTACAGTTGGAATAGTTCGATATTCCCAAAATGATCCCATGCCCTAAGGAATGTAGTAGTAGTAGTATTTTTATTAGTAGTAGTAGCAGTTGTAAGAACGGTAATAGTAACACTAATAGTAGTAGTAGTTGTTATAGTAGTAGCAGTAGTAATAGTAGTAGTAGAAAGAGTAGTAGTTGCAATATTAATAGTAGTAGTTGTATTAGTAGTTATAGAAGTACCAGTGGTATTATTGGTAGTAGTAGTAATTGTAATAGTAGTAATAGAAGTAGTAGAAATAGTAGTAGTTGTAAAAGTAATATAAGTAGTAGAAATAGTAGTAGTTGTAAAAGTAATAGAAGTAGTAGAAATAGTAGTAGTTGTAAAAGTAATAGAAGTAAAAGAAATAGTAGTAGTTGTAAAAGTAATAGAAGTAGTAGTAATAGTTGCAATACTAATAGTAGTGGTAGTAGTTATAGTAGTAGCAGTAGTAATAGTAGTAGTAAAAAGAGTCGTAGTTGTAACATATAGTAGTAATAGTAGTAGTTGTAATAGTAATAGTAGTAGTAGTAACAGTTGCAATATTAATAGTAGTAGTTGTAATAGTAATAGTAGAAGTAGTAATAGTAGTAGAAGTAGTAATAGTTGCAATAGTAATTGAAATAGTAGTAGTTGTAATAGTAGTTATAGTAGTAATTGAAATAGTAGTAGTTGTAATATTAGTTATAGTAGTAATTGAAATAGCAGTAGCTGTAATAGTAGTTATAGTAGTAATTGAAATAGCAGTAGTTGTAATAGTAGTAGTTGTAACAGTAATATTAGTAATAATAGTACTTTATTGATAAGGTAGTCAGATGCTATAGATATATATAAAAGAGAAAATCTGAACTTAAAGAATATTAAATAATTCGGTTAATAGGAAAGGATAAAGTGGATGCGTCTAACCTATGACCAGCTATGTATATAGGGTATATCTAGGCTTTAATATAAACCCACATATATTTCCCAATTTCAGAGTTAACTGAATCACTGTTGGCTTTTCTCGCAGATAGATCTAAGGGAATAATAAATTGAGAAATCTTGAGCTTTGAATAGATTTAACTGTTCTTTATAATTCTTAACTTTGAATATCTCCATTCTCTTTTGTTAGCTTTTGGTTTTTCTTCTTGATATTTTTATAAGTTTAAACCAAATCTAAACCAGTCTAGACTGTTTTACTATGAGCGTGAAGAATGGTGAAAAATTTCCCGGGCTAAAATGTTGATATATTTACGTTCTGCTTCGATCTCAGTCGCAAAGGTAATGAGCGTGCAGCCGAGGCGTGGCATCTAAAATTAAGTCACATTTTCGTGATGGTAAAGAAAACAACTGTGCAAATATTTGCTCGAGTCCAAAACAAAATTCCGACTTCTCGCAGCTGACTCAGCGCGATCTCAACTCAGAACGTAACCAACTGCCGTGTGCGAAGCGAATGAAAGAATTTTAAGATGCTCAGAGCTCAGCTAACCAAGGTTTTATTGCTGGGAGTGCTGCTCCTCGGGGGCAGCCAGGCGCATCCATTGCGCGGACGGAAGCGCGCCTTTGGTAAGGAAAGGTCGATCTCTCCCTCAATTCATAGCTAAAGATCCCTCTCTCCTCCCAGGCATGGGTCTGCTGGGTGGCGCATTGGCGGGCGCTGCCATTGGCCATGCGGTGGCTAAGGCACCGGGCTCATCGAAAGCAGCTGCTCCAGCCGCTGCACCCGTCGCCCAGGTGGTGGAGAACGGTGTGCCCGACGCCAATGGCTGCTACAAGCAGACGATCAGGGAGCCCGTTACTGGTCATCCCGGGCACTACATTGAAACGGTGCACCTGGTCTGTCCACAGCGCCCGGCAGCAGCTGCACCACAGCCTGCGATGCCGGCACCTGTGCACGTGCTACCCGTTGCCCAAGCCCCAGCTGCATCCGTTTATCCAGTGATTCCTGCCCCGGCGCCAGTGGCTACCCATGTGGTGGCAGCCGCCGTTCCCGTTGCTAATGCCACCCATTTAAATGGAACTCTTACCGTTACCACTCTGGGTCATCCCAACCCAGTTCCAGTTCCAGTGCCAGCTGTTCCTGCTCCTGCTGCGGCTCCTGCTCCTGCGCCCTCTGCTGCGGCAGCTACAAGTCCGCATTCTTCTTTAACTTTTGCCTATGCAACTGCTCCCATAGCGCAGCCTGCACAGCCAGTTCAGCAAGCCCCAGCTCAAGTGTTTCTGCTTTCCAAAACCGTGAAGAAGCAGAAGTCTGCAGCTAGTTCAGTGAATGTGTCATATGGTCTCCTAATGCTAGTGGTTCTCTACTGCCTTATAAGCAGATAAATTTGAAATATGTAAATGCGGTGTCCTAACAAATAAAGTACGTAGAGGAAAATAAGTTCCCAGCAAGTATTAACAACTTAATTGATAATTATAAAATGCAAATTAATGAATTCAAACTTCCCGCCACTGCCAAATTCACGTGTGCTCAAATCGCAGCTAACCTAACGGCTGTGCGCAATTCGGCGCGCAGCTAACTTCATTTGCCACACCACTGTTAAAGTGCTGTTAACAATAACAGTGTGAAACGAGTTTTACATATAGATGGCGCTAAATACCGAAATGCGTTTATAGCGCTTTCTATTGATAATTTTAATGTAACTCAAATGGCACCATTAGCATGTTATTTTGTAAATCTTATAACAGTGCTTCATCTTATACAGCTGCTAAACGGTCACACTGTATTTGCAGCCGGCGTCTTTTCATTGTTTTCGTTGTGAAATTCGCACGATTGCAGTTGTAGAACAAATTAAAATTCGACATGAGCACTTGGGACCCCGAACGCGATGTGGAGCTAACCGACTCCGAGGATGAGATTGCAATGAAGCGTGATTTCCATGGTCGCGAAGCCATACTTTTCGTGGTAGACGCGAATCTGGAGGTAAACGGGAATGCAGAGAAAGAAATTTGTATGTTAAACAGAAACTTTATAGACAGAGCGCTTCATGGACGCGCTTAGGCTAATACGCGGTGCTTTCATCTCCGGCATGCTGGTAAACGGCAAGGACCTAATGGGCCTCGTTTTTGCCAACACCAAGCACAGCCCACCGCCGCAGGAGGTGCAGTGCCTGGAGAACATAACGGTATCGGCGAACTGCGCCATCTTCCTGCCGCTGCGCCAGCTGACGAAGGCCATAGTAGAGCACTTCATGGACTTTATGCAGAACGCCGAGGAGCTGTTCCCCAAGGAGTACGGCCTGGCCGAGCCCGACGGACGGGGCAGCTTTGCGCAGATGATTCGTCTGTGCATCGAGATGTTGGTGAAGTGCGGAAAGAAACTGAACAACGCCAAGATCGTGTACATCACGGACGTGGAAGAGCCGCACCCACCGTCCAGCCCAGAGTTTCAAACGGCACTGCAAAAGGCCAGCGATCTGGAGGGCAAAGAGTTCGAGTTCCAGGTGATTCCCATGATCGATGACTTTGACTACGAGCCCTTCTACAAGGAGTTCATAACGCTGTCGAGAGGTAAGTCGTAAGCACATAAGACTCGGTCCATATGCGACATTTGTTCCCCTTGCTGGCGTGCAGCTGTAGCCAGAAAGGTTTCAAGATGTCGCAGAGCAAACAGAGCAACTGTTTCACCCGCATCCAACTGAAGTACTATTGGGTTGCGCTTTTGAATTTGCTCACAAAATTACTATTTATGCTTAAGGAAGCTCAATCAGAGCAGGTACTAGAGCTAATAATAGGTAGAGGCAGAGAGAGAGAGAGAGAGAGAGAGAGAGAGAGAGAGAGAGAAATGAATGTGAATTTGTTTATAGATAATCACTTGCGAATCTGTGGATTCTTTACGCTCTGTTCGCGAAATCGACCGAAAATAATCCTACTTACTCGCTATCGCTCTGAGCAAGTCTTCGGTTCTTTCCGTTTTGAGAACATCGTTTAGGGAGAGATACGATTGTAAATGAGTGATAGATCAAAGACTTTGCAAACGGTCTTCACTCTCACGTTCACGTGCCCACTCTCTCTCCACGTGCGCAATGCATGTGTATAGCGAGTATAACCCTATCATATATGTATACCATGCTTAACTCAATCGAGCGGTCGAGGAAATCCGATCTGTCTGGAGTTTTTTCGCTGAGTGTATGTAAGAAACATTCAGGACACGGTCAACAGCGAGCTATAGGTAATCAGGAATTCATGTTTGTTTAAGACAAACATTTAGAATCTTGCATGGAGCTCGACGATGAGCAAAGACTTCAGAAATGGTTTACAGATATTATAGGTATGTAGGTAGGTAGAGATGGACAGATGCTGGCCCAGATGGAGACGCATACGAATGGAAGAAACAGCAAGTAAAGACATAGATTCAATGACATGGATGAATGGACAGATTAACTAACAGGCGGATGGAGTGTTGAATGAGAATGACGAACAAGAACAGACGCAAGGAAGAGACGGAAGTATCCGTGCACCAACAACAACAACAAACAATTGTCAGCTGCATCCCATGATACATGACTCATAGCTTAAGGGGACCCAGCGTCTGTTGGTTACCAAATTTCATTGAATTGGCAGAGAGCAAAAAATACTTTTTATTGTATACGATTCTCTATGAGGGATGGAAAAGAGTTGAGTCGAAATTGAGATGGCTGTTGTTAAACGAAAAGTAATTGTAGATAACGCAGAACCTGTAATTGAGTGTGGTCAGAGTTAGTGGGAGGGTTGCAAATCCATAAATGGCCCTGTTAACATTTCTTTAATCTCTTTTAGCCATCGAAATAGACGCGTTTCGCGTGCCGGACGCGCAGCTGCAGCGCGAGATTCTGGAGGATCGCAAACTGAGGCAAGACTTTCTGCGCCGCTGTCTGGGTCACTTTACGCTCTCGCTGGGCCCCAACCTAGATATATCGGTGCAGTACTACAATTACTTCCAGCGGCGCGCCTATCCGCAGAAGGTGCACATCATGCGGCGCGACAACAGCGTCGTGCGCAAGCGGCGGCAGATTATGGTGCGGCAGCAGGACGGGGAGACGCAGGAGATAACGCACGAGTACCAGATCAAGATGACGGGCGGCTGGTACGAGTGTAAGATAGGCGAGGAGACGCTGCGTGTGACCACGGAGCAGCTGAATCGCGTGCGCAACTTGCATCCGCCGGGCATGATGCTGCTGGGCTTCAAGCATCGCTCCACGCTGCCCACCAATTCTTACAGCAAGCCGTGCAGCTTTATGTACCCGGACGATCAGAAGATCATTGGCTCCAAGCGACTGTTCCGCGCGCTCTGGCAGCGCTGCTTGGAGCGCGAGAAGATTGCGGTTTGTCTGTTCATGTGCAAGCGCAAGTCCGTGCCGCGCTACGTGGCGCTGGTGCCCGTGGAGGCGGCCCAGCCGGACGACAAGAACTACCGCTCGCTGCTCTCGGGCGATGGCTTCAAGATCGTCTACTTGCCCGAGGCCAAGCACATACGGCACATCGACATGTGCGACTGGAACAGCACGGCTAACACGGCGACGGATGAGGGCGTTGACTTTTTCCAGAAGGTGATCCGCAAGCTGAGCGTCGACTACCAGCCCAATCTTATCAACGACCCCAATCTGGAGGTGCTGCAGTCTAATCTGCTGGCTCTGGCCTTGGACTTCAAGACCGAGGACGACGGTCTCAGCCAGCTGCCCGATCCGGCGATGCAGAACAAGCGCATCGAGAAGCTGCTGCCCACCTACGAGACGTTGTTTATGCCCGAAGTCGAGCCGGCCAAAAAGCGCGCGGCCAAGTCCAACGCCGACGAGGCCAGTGCGCCAAAGGTGGCCAAAATTGAGCAGGAGCAGCTGTGCAGCTACGACTTCGTGGAGCTGCTGATCAAGGACAAGCGACTGGTCGCCTGCACCGCCCAGCAGCTGCGCTACATACTCGATGAGCATTTCGGCGTAAAGCTGCCCAAAACCGCAACCAAAGCTGTGCTCATGGATCGCATCAATGCGCTGAGCGTCGATTGTTGATGCTGAATCGTGAAATAGATATGTGAGAGGTGTTTAAGTATTAGTATTAAGAATTGTTAAACAGCAACAGGAAATGTGAATGCAATGTTATAAGCAGGAAGGAACAAGCTAGGACTTGCGGAGCATCAATACTTCTATATATAAATGCCTGATAATATTTATGTTATGCCTTTATATACCCTTAATACCTTGTATACCTTTCAATAGGATTGTGAATGCATTGTTATAAGCATGAGAAGATGATAGAACAAGTTGGAATTTTCGAAGATCAGATTTATATTTATGAATATGCTAAATACATTTGACATACATATGCCTAATAATTATGCTTACAACTTGATTTACTTAAAACAAATTTAATTAGTTAATGAGATTGTTGAGATTGTTATATTGCAACAGGAAATTGTGAATACATTGTTATAAGAGTTAATAGAACAAATAAGCATTTGCCATGGGTTAGATTTATATTTGTGAATATGCCAAATACATTCAACATTTATATGCCTGATAATATTTCATTAAATATATAAATATAACAAGAAATTAAATATTTGAACATTATTAATATCTTATTAAAATATGTATTTCAATGCCATTAGGAATTGTTGTGCTGCGGCAGTAAATGTAAATGCATTATTATAAGCATCAAATTCATATTCCTAGTTAAGTAACATTGTAGCTTGCAAAAAACTGTTGATCGTTTGATTCTTTACGCTCTGTGTGAAAAATCTACCAGAAAAAATCATAAGAGCTCCCGCTCTGAGCAAGAGTTTTCGGGTGTTTTCGTTTTCTGAGAAGCGAAGCGTCTTGAGTTGAGTTGGACTATTCGTGTGACGTCTCTTAGCCAGCATCGCTTAGGGAAAGATCCGATTGACGTTCATGAACGTGAACGGTCTCCACACTAAATTCACGTACCCCATCCATGTATTGAGCGAGCGAAACCCTCGCAGACTCCCCAATACATACACAATCAACCAATGCAAGCGGCTGCACTCTGAGTTTCTGCTAACAATAATGAGGCCTTCGGCTTGATTATATTTGACTATATATGTATATAAGGTATGACATGGGATAGTAATATTAGTGTTTGCGCCTTAAATAATGAACTGCGTACAGCGAATGCATGAAAGGCTTTGTGGCTAGCTCAGCTCAGGCTGTGTTTCTTAACTTTGGTAATCCACTTTACGTAGAGCCGTAAGTTCATTTTCGCGGTTGCCGGAGATGGTTTATTTCTGCAGTCAGCGTAAATTGCATAATTCGACTCTTAACCCGAATAGCAGCAAATGTCCTTATGGCGTATGAAGGAGCTCGCAACTTTTGGGCGACTTTTGGGCCGGGCAGAACTTTGCAC